CAACCTCTCGTCAATATGCGTTTTTCGCATTGCATTGCTGCAAAAAACGCATAATAATAATAATAAATCGAGAGATTGTAACCGCAAAACACAGAGATTCTTTTTTACAAAAACATAGAAAAAATCGCACGTTCAAATGACAGTTTTGCATTGTTTCAACAGGAAAGGTTTCACAAAAGGGCTATCTGGAGAGTGGCATAGTTGTTCGCAGGAACTGCAAATGCGGTACTGCTTGAAAGACCATTAGTGTTTTTGCTGTGGTTTATCACGTTTTGACTTTACCTTCGATTAGGAAAGTGGCAGGACAGTAAGGAGATTAATGTAGACTTATCCAGAGGATGATTTATAAAATTATAGCTGCAAATCTTACAAGTGGTTTATAAAATTTTTTAGATTCGATCTTGCAAGGAAATATCTGGAAGTGGGAATTGATAGGATATTATACGTCGATGAGTGCAGCCCGATTTTACCCGGATATTACTGCAACTACTCGGAAGCACTCTACCACTGCGGAAAGAGGTATGTTGTTGTCCAGTACGTATGCTTTGCTTAGCTTATTTAGAAAACTGTGCGTCGAAGTGAAATGAAAATATTAAAACTGCAAATATTTCGATCTGATTAACCTCTCCCTTGCAGCCTGTCCCATCTTCTCCCTCCCCTTGTGCATTATTTTCCTGTTGTGCCCCGCTTATGTCCTGATACTCGCAAGACCCGTAACACCTGCTTCCAAATATAGCGCGCATTTTGTTATTTGCGTACTTGATCACGCACTATCCAATCAGCAATGAACTAGTGTTTTAGAGAAGAAGCATTAGAATATGCCAAAAAAGCGGCGAATTTCTCGCGCTCTGAATCGAAAGAACTGCAGAATTACACAGCCCGATTCCTTCGCGATATGGAACGAGATTACAGGCGGCGCCGATGACAATTCATTACAGAACAGTCATTTTATATGTGGTACTTCTCCTGTGTTCATGAGGTCTTACGGAATACGGAGGATAAGAGCCCAGTTTGTAGTGGCGAAGAGAAATACCTGAACATGATGGATGAACTGTTATTATTATAACTCAGTTTTGTACACTCGTACACTAGCGCCTAGCCATTAGTTAGAATCTGTATGTGTGTGTGTGTGTGTGGGTAGAGCGGGTTTCTTGATCTTTGTACATCGTGTTTTATTAAAACTAAGTAAATGTCATATTGTTGTTACTGTATTAATTTCAACAGGAAATGCAAAATTTCACATTATTTTAGTGAGACAGTAATAGCAGAATTCGAAAGATAGTAGTAGCAGGTAAAAGAAAAGCAATCACTGTCACTTGTAGTAGTGCCAATTCACAAAATAAAAATATGTTTAACAGTGAATTTAAAAATCGCTGTTATCAATTCACAATTTTGTACACAGCAAACAGACGCTTTGTTTTAACTGAAGACATGCAGCCTGGGATCGAAGGACCTGGCATAGTTGCGACCGGCATTTGAGAGCATCCCCACTAACACCACGAACATGGGATACTCACAGCTACCTCTACAGGATTCCTGATACTGACTATCAGTACATCGTACAATCACTCTCCTTTTTGGCAGTAACGTGGGAATCGACAAAATCATCGGTAATCGAACTTGCTCCAGCCTACTAGGTACTTTTTTCTCTTTTCTTACATCAGGAGACAGCCTCTAAGCACCTATAACTAAAGCGGGGATTGAAAGGCAGTTACTAAAACTTAGCTCGCCCCGCACCCTAGCATTCCTATTCAGGCAATTACAATAACTCGGCTCGGCTGATGATCTATGGTGCTTTAGCTTTCCAGCGCTTCGCACTGTCATCTCGACCAACACTATTCCGCGGCGTCGCTTTCTGGAACTTCGCCAGGCGCGCTGGGTAGCGCTGCCCCATGTCTGGCGGCTGAATTGCGTGGCTGGGCAGGAAGTGATAGGTGGGAGGACTGGACGTGGTTGGGGGGTGTTGCTTGGTAGTTGCCTAGATACAGCTCAGAGGGCGCAATTAAGGCCAGGACAGTGGGGAGAAATGGAGTTGCTGGTTAGGAGTTCAGAACGATAAACGGTGACAGTGGTTGGAGGTGGTGGGTGCCCCGATGATCTGGAGGCAAGAATTGGGGACAGGCTACAGGAGGGGAAGAAGGGTGCTGGTCGGGAGTTCGAGGCAAGAACTGCAGATAGCAGCAAAGAAGAAAATAAACTAATACGCCATTACGAAAAAAAAGTAAATCAAAACAGACTTGAATTTGTGAATAAAAGGAAAAAAAGCAAAATCAAAGAACTGGAGCCTGTAACCAGAAGTAAAAAAAGCAAAAGCAGACAAAAACTGAGCTTATGCGAGTAGGATTTGTCTTACAAAAAGCCATCTTCAGTGAGCGTTCCTCGCGTTTATGAAGTTTATGCTTATGTGAAGCTGAGAGCAAATAAGTTC